CACTAGTTGTAGTGGTGCCACAGACTGAATAGGTGAAGAGGTGCTTTTCTACAGTAAAAATTAAGTAGATACACCAACTGAGTAATGAATAAGCCTGAACTGCTTCTGCCTGACTGAATTTTTGGGTGTGGTTTTTTCATTTTATTTCTGGAATAAAATCTTTCAATCTTCATTGCAGTCAATCAGCACATTCCCTGAATACTCCATTCTCTTAATATTGTGGAGAAGGCAAAAGAACATTGCTTTTGTGCCAGGCCCACATACTTCCATTTGTAGGATTAAAACTTTAAATCTTAATATTGGTTAAGATACTGTATCAAAACATTTGATCTTATGATCAAATAAAAATAACAATTCTCAGTAACCCTTTTTAGTACCCCCCCCCCCCCCGCCATATTCTACTTTGCAAGAAATGTAGATCACACTTATTTCTACTTATAATCCATTCATTAATTAGAAACTAGAATATAAAAGCCAAAGTCTTCATAAATAGAGGTTTCTTTCTTGAGTTAACCTGAACTCCCACTTTTTTATAATAATGAAATAAATGACATCTTTGTATGTCTGGACATGTATTTAAGATACATCAACACATTATGGACCAAAGAGTACAGTTCTGTATTTGCTGGCAGCTTACAAAAGAGAAAAGCCTAGGAACAGTCATTAAGGACTACACTGTCTTCAACAAAACTTAAGTGAGGGCACATAACTACATTGCCTTTAGTTGTAGTACCAAATAAATAATGGGTCAGTGGTTTGTTTAAATCAATTTTCCTTATCTCATAATCAGTGGTTGGTAGGGAAATTTTAGTAAGATAAAAATCCTCAAATGTATTTCACTGTGTAAAGCAAATAAGTAGGGATGTCAAGGTGCAGCCAACTACACAAGTAACCCATAAACCTAGGCTTATCAGTTAATTGGGTCAACTAAATGCATCCTCCTCCCCCCCCCTTGTTGCCTCTGTATCAGAGGTGGAGGGGGCAGGAGCTGGTGCCCACCTTACCCCCAACGCTGCTGCCTCTGACAGATGCCTGCCACAGACAGGGTATGTCTACACTACCCCGCTAGTTCGAACTAGCGGGGG